TCAATCGTCCGTGATCGGCTATACCAGTTATAAATAGGGGCCTTGGGGTCTCATTTCCTTCATCCTATTTTGAGCTCTCGCATTTGGAGGTTGTGCTCTAACCTTGATGTCTCCAAGTCGGTCTTCCATTTTCGGTCTTCAAGGTCGGTCTTCAGTCTTTTCTTCCTTGGCAAATTGTCTTCCTTTGTCCTAGCTCGTTCTTTTTTATGGCTTTGAAAAAGGGCAAACATTGACCAAATTTCTTAGACAAATCGATTCAGGGCGGCAATTCGGCCAATTAACTATTGTATTTCTTTTATTGACCTAGGTGGTCTCATATCTAAGATTGCTTGGATTCTGTCCGGGTTGGCCTCGATGCCACTTCAGTTCACTATATAACCAAGGAATTTGCCCGACATGACCCCGAATACACACTTGTTTAGGTTGAGTTTCATGTTATACTTTCTTAAGATCTGAAAAACATAATTTAAATCATCAATTAGAGAAGAAGAAAATTGGGTCTTCACGACCATGTCATCTACATAACATTCAACTTTATTGCCTATTAAAGGCTTATTACAAGTTGCTAGAAAGTTGCTCCAACGTTTTTTAGTCCAAAGGGCATGACTTTAGAATAGTACAGTCATAACTCAGTTGCAAAAGTTGTTTTTTCTTGGTTAGGTAAGTCCATCTAGATCTGATTCTAGTCGGAGTAGGCGTCCATGAAGCTCAGCAACTTGTGCCTTGAGGTCGCGTCTACCAGGCTGTCAATTCTGTGAAGGGGGAAGTTGTCCTTTGGGTAGGCTCTATTGATGTCAGTGTAGTCAACACACATGTGCCACTTGCTGTTAGCTTTCTTCATGAGCACAGGATTAGCTACCCAACTCAGATATTGGACCTCTCTAACGAAGTTTGATGCAAGGAGCTTCCCGACCCCCTCATCTACTACCCTCCACCTCTCTAGGGTGAGGTTTCTTTTCCTTTGTCTGACTGGCCTGACTAAAGGGTCCACATTAATCTTGTGAGTAATTATGGTTGGATCTATGCTGGGCATTTTTGCTACTGACCATGCAAAAACATCTAAATTTTCAAGTAAAATACTTACTCGAGTAGATCAGAGTGGTTTGCTCAGGTGAGCACCGACTTGGACAGTCTTCATGGGCTCGGTGTCAGAGACCAGGACTTGGACTATATCCTTCATTGTTGTAGCTCGTTAATCAGCATACTTGGGGGCGGCTCCAGCTCGACATTGTCTACCAAATTTGCTTTTCCCTTCAGCGCACGATGTAGCACTTTCGAGACTCTAGTTGGTCACCTCGTACAACCCCCACTCCGTACCTCGTCGGCAACTTCATCGACAGGTAGTAGGTCAACACCACCGCACGTAGTGCATGTAGGATGGGCTGACCTAAGATGGCATTGTAGGGGGATGGGATGGCAACTACTTGGAAGGTGTGCTCAAACCGGACGGTGTTAGGCTTTGTTCCTGTTGCTACCGACACCTTGGTCCTACTGAGGGGCTTCACCACATCTCCACTGAAATCGACTAGAGGCATGTCTACTGGATGTAGATCCTTTTGGTTCAGCTCCATCTTCTCAAATGCCTCCAAGAAAAGGATGTCCATCGAAATGCTTGATTCCACCAGAATCCACTTTACCTCGAAGTCATTGATGATCATCTTAACAACGAGGGCATCATCATGAAGATACTAGATCCCAAGAGCATCGTCCTTAGTAAAGTATATCACTTTCTCCACTCGAGGGCACTTCGGTGTGTTCTCATCTTCATTTCCAACTCCCAAACTGCATTCTTTCCTGCCACCATATTGCAACCTTCTACTATCGACCCACCGGTGACCATATTAATCACCTCGTAGATCGGTCTCTCTAGTGTTGGTGGATCCCGAGGTGGCTGGTTGCGGTAATTTCGCTTGCTTGACTCCAGTGCATCTCTGCGCTACTTGGCATGTCAATGGTCTCTGTCGTCATACTCGATGAACTGCCTAAGGTAGCCACGACAAATCAACTCCGTGATCTCATCCTTCAGGTTTCGCAGCTCTCTGTATCTTGCCCGACGTCATGGTGGAAGTGATACTATCAGTTTGGGTTGAGGTTGGCGGGGTCTCCTCTCATCCTGGGCGTCCACTTGAAGTAGTTGGCTTCTTTTATTTGCATCAAAATCTCACCCCATTTTGCATTCAGGGTGGTGTAGTTGTGGTTTTGGACTGGTGGGGTTCTAGATCCGATCTAATCTAGAACCCCGATGCGGTGACCTACTCTTTTTGGGCAATCTGCTTCACTTGTTGCAAGGTGACCTACTTCTTTTTGGCGACTTGCTTTTTCTCCGCTAGTGTTTGTTGTTGCTTCCCTCTTCTTCTGTTCTCTTTCTCTTCCCGGCCTGCTGCAACTCAAACTGAGATTTGAGAACCTCCTCCACCTTTATGAACTTGTCGGCTTCTGTGAGGAATGCCTCTATGGAAGTTGGGGGGTTCAACTCGAGCTTCCAACACAGATCAGGGTGTTGGACTCCCTTCTGGGCTGCGGTGAGCTGTATGGTTGGATCAAGGTTTGGTACCTGGAACCTCTCAATGTTGAACCTTTTAATGTGGTCCCTGAGAGGCTCATTTTCTTGCTAGACCACATTCAGTAGGCTTGTTGTTGACTTCGGGCACCTCTTGCTCGTAGCGAAGTGCATGGTGAAGAACTCTACAAACTGGCTCTAGTTCTTTATTGAACCAGGGGGCAGTCCGCGGTACCATAATCTCATCGTACCTYTGAAGGTTGTAGAGAAGGCCACACAGAGGTAGGCATAAGTTGCTCCATGGAGCAGCATCAAAGACTGGAAACTATCACTGTGGTCATTGGGATCATTCATACCATCATATGTCTCTAGGTTGGGTGCTTTGAAATTCTTTGGTCGTGGAGCTATGAAGATTTCTGGTGCTATTGGGGATGGTCAACTCAATGGTAGTGAGGTCTGTTGCACATCGACCGACCTAATTTCATCTCTCTTCCCCTTATTGGCCTCCATAGTAGGGGCAACACTGCTCTTCACGGCGGCGCAACGTGAGCTTCTTTGGCGTCATTTCATTCATGTTGTTTGCCTTTGTGTTCGCAGAAGTCATGACCTTGGTGTTGTCTTACATAGGGGACGAGTCTCGGTTGTCAAGGTGGTAGGACAGGTCTGGGGCAAGGTCCCTGCTCCTGTCACCGGGTTGCTGGTTGCTAGGTTGTTGGTCATTCTATTGGCGATGATGCTAGTCATTTTGTTGACGATGGTGTTGGTCATTCTAACGATCGTTCTACTACTGGTTAACTTATTGGTTGTATTGTTGCTGGACCACAAGGGCTCAAGGTGGTGATGGATGCCAAGGAGGTGTTGGACCCGATGTGGTATTGGGCCCCGAGGTGGTGATGGGCGCTGGGGTTGCTAGTGCTGTTGAGGCTGTTGTGACGGCATGAATGCTTCGAACCTCTCATCCCATGTGCATATCTGAAGGTTCATCCTCCTTACGTATTGCACCAGTTCATAGAACTGTCGCGTGTCTATCCCCGCGGGAAGCTCAAATGGCCCTACCGCAGGGAGAGGGGCATTCACATGAGGCAATGGTGCATTTACCTGTTTTAGTGGGAGTGTTGGGTTTGGCATTGTTGGTACTCTTGGAAGAGTTAAGGGCATAGTGAATTGCCCGATTGTCATGGAGGGGATCTCTAGGTTCATCGTGGGCTGCTCTTGCCCCCCAGTGACTGGTACTTCACCGTTGTTGTTGTTGATGTTGTTGGAAGATGCCAGTGTGTGAAATTCAAAAACTAAAAGTAGGAACTTGTCTTTTTGTTGTGGTTCCCACAAATGACGCCAATTGATGGTGCACGATCTGGTTGCTCCTAACTGGAGGGCAGCTTGGACATCGGTCTGCTTGGTTGGCCTGTCGAACTACAAGAAAGCAAGATCAGAGGACCTTGGGTGGCTTACCCAGAGTGGGCACTCCAATGCTTAAGTTAGAAAGTGGAGTTTGTGAGCTGAAGGATTAAGTAAGCTAGAGGGCTAGTGAGAAAATAATCGTGCATACCTTATAGCATTGGGGTTGAAGCCCTTATATAGGCGAGTTGTCGTAGGTCTTACGAAACACCTCCGAGATCCCCAACCCGTGTTACCAAGAGTTTGTTCCACACCCGGAGGTGGGCTTCATGTGAGTTGATAAGGCCTACCGAGTCCGTCAGATCTAAGCAGGATAAGGATAAGGCTTGTGGATATATGACGTGATCCCGGAGAGGACGGAGACGAATGGCTAGCTTCTAGAAATTGGCTACATGTCACCTCGGTAGGTTAGGCCATCACAAGCTGCTCAGACCTCGGTTTTGGCCGAGATGCCCGAGGTACCCGAGCTGACCTAGCCTGCTGAGGTGTTAGGAAATGCTCAATCGTTGCCCATGTCATCAGGTCAATCCACCTGTCTGCATGTCGACAGATCGAGCCAAATTACCCCTCATCACGTGACACATCTGAGATGAGATCAAGTTGGCTATAGCAGGTGTTAATGGGATGCTGATTCATCACTGAATCCAGAGGAAGGCTCTTCAAGTATGACGGGAGGGATACCTAAGAATTATACAATCCAAAATTCTATGTTCCATCCATATCCGTTTGGACCTCAGTTTTATAACCTACGTTCCATTAGATGCTCGCCTCTCCAAGGCTGTAGAAGCAAATTTAGATTGGATAGCAGGATGGATCAACTTTAGACCCGACCCATTTGTGCCCAACAAATTGAAGCGATATAGTTGTGATTCAGCTTTGCTGAAAGAGTCCAAGTTGACCAAGCTCATCCCACAACTTTCTCCATGATATATAATCCAGTCGTCCTGGGGAAACCCCATGAGTTGTAAAAATCTCCACTTCATCAAACTATTAACAAGCAAACGAAAAGAAAAATAGCATTAGTTATTTCTGTCAATATTTAAACCACCCAGTGGTCACTCTCTAGAGCCTGCTCATCAAAGAGACTGGGGAGATCTAGACGATGAGGATCTCAGAGAAACTTCTGTTGGCCGTCTTGATCAATCTCTGTCTTGTAGCTACGTCAATTCATGGCTCCGCCAGCAACACCGGTAGACAGGTGGGTCTCTCTATCTTGTGTATTAGCTTTATGGAGTTTGTTCAAAGCATCAGATAATGGTGATTATTGTGTTGGTAACAGCCATATATAGTGTACATGGGAGAAGTGCTGGAGCATGGATTAGTTCCAGAAGAGCAACACCGCAGCCTGCTTACTGAAATCATCGAAGAGTAAGTAGGCTGATGCCTTTCACCTTTGGCTGTGACATTTATCTAACATTTGTTGGGTGAATTTCTGATTTTGATAATTGCTTTTGAATATTGCTGATAAGATCAGAGATGGTATCTGTTTCTCTTAATAACTTGCTAGGTAATAACTCTGTTTAGAGAACAGACCATGCACTAACAGAAACATATATAATAGGTCTTTTGGGGAGTTAGTTGCTAAACTTCTAGGAATTGTTTGAAATTGGATGTTGATGAAAATGTTGTTCTTTTTCCAAGTGAGAGCATTGCAAGAGAGTCCATATTACACAGCTATAAGAGGAGTTTTAATGGGTTCGTGGCCATGCTGTTGCCACATGAAGCAAATCGACTGATGGGTATGTATGGCTATCTATCAAAAACTGAACTTTTAATACTTCCGTGCACTGATCTAAATACAACAATGAAAATGAAGAATGTTTTTGGTTGGATCATTGCAGAGAGAGAGGAGGTCGTATCCGTTTTCCCAAACACCAAACTTAAGCTTCACACCACAAGATCATGGGATTTTCTGGGAATGCCTCTAACAGTAAATAGGAGCTATAAAATTGAGAGAGAAATCATAGTGGGTTTGTTGGACACAGGTAATTTAAAGCTGGAAAAGCAGCCAATACTCGGTATCTTTAGCTTCTTGTTTGATCCATTTGTTTAGATTTTTTTAATTCTTTTGGAATTCCTAAAGTTATATCTATTCAGGTTAATTTCCCTGTATTTGTTCATATATGGGAGTAAACTCATAAAGGTTAATTCTTTCAGGAGTTTATCCTGAATCTCCAAGTTTCGATGACAAAGGGTATGGGCCTCCTCCGTCTAAATGGAAGGGTAAATGCGAAGTAGGTGTTAATTTCACTGGCTGCAACAAGTAAGATTGTCATTCCATCTCTCCCTCTTTGTTTGTTTATTTGGTTAATTTTGCATTAATAAAATCTTCAACATAATTCACTAGCTACATCCAGTGTTAGATTCAACAAAAGAAAGAATTTATTTGGTTAGATTTAGCTTAGGCTGACCAGCTTGTGCTTGGTCCTTGGGCTGTGGGCCAAGCCTGGGTCCTAGACCCATGTTTAGGGTTGGGCCTGTGTTGGCCCTAAACCCTGCCCAGCCAACCCATGTTCCATTGTAATATGTGGCTTTAGGGTGCCCATTTACATACCTGTTGTTATATGTGGCCTTGTGACTAAGAAGTAACTTCACCATTTGATGGTGGGCTCCAACCTTTTCCACATAGACACGTGGCAATCAGATGAACCCAATTGTATCAGAAAGTCTGGGTCTATCTAATTAATGGTGGATAAATTACCATTAGAAGTTTAGAACTCCCAAATTTTGTAATTCATATCCGTGGATTTCCAGCAAATTTAAACCCTTATACCTGCAACTCTGGCAGAAAGCTCATAGGTGCGAGGTCCTACAGCATTGGACACAAAACTCCCCACCAATCTCCAGCAGATACAGATGGGCATGGAACACACACCGCATCTACGATTGTAGGTTCAGCAGTTAACAATGCCAGCCTCTACGGGATAGGCGGAGGGACGGCCCGAGGGGGGGTGTCATCGGCCCGCCTCGCCATGTACAAGGTCTGTTGGGACAATGGATGCTGGGACTCAGACATCTTAGCTGCATTTGATGATGCTATCAGCGATGGTGTCGACGTGCTCTCCATTTCTCTTGGTGGTGTTATTCGTGATTTCTACAACGATTCATTATCCATTGGCTCCTTCCATGCCATGAAGAAGGGCATCTTAACTGTTTGCTCCGCTGGAAATGAAGGGCCCTATTTGTTAACTGTGTCCAATCTCGCACCCTGGGTCTTGACTGTTGGCGCTACTGGTATAGATAGGCAATTCAGGGCAGAAGTCAGGCTTGGGAATGGCATGAAGACCTCTGTAAGTAGTGACTGTATTTCGAATCTCATGGGTTTGGGTTTAGCCATGGATTTTATTAGGGTGCATGACGGGGGAGGTTGGGACTTGGGACGGGTTGAAGGTCAATCCTAGGGTGCAAACCTTGGGCTCGGGCTTGGCCCAACCTTGATTGAAATAAATCCCCATTCTCGACCCCGATTCCTAAGAGAGATGGGTTCCATGTAGGAACCCAAGTCCCCAAAATTTTTTAATTAATAGTATTTTTTGAAAAATAAATTTACTTAAAATAAAGGAAATTTTAATATATATATATATATATATATATATATATATATATATATATATGTATGTATGTATAGGTTGGGTACCTGGCAGGGATGGGGAAATTGCCATCCCTACAACTAGGGCTAAGCTTGGGTTCAGATTGGGCCGGATCAAATTTAGGTGGTTTGGTTGGGTTTCCAAGAATTTATGTGTATATTTTTAGGGAAAATTCCCAATTAGTACTCTATACTTTAGACCTAGTGCCACTTTGGTCCCTGAACTTTAATCCCATTCAGTACTTGAACTTCCAAAATGTGCCAATCCAATACGTGTCATTAACCAATTCATCAACATGTCATTAAGTGGCATTTGAAAAGACACAAATGCCCTTGGAGTGTCACATAATTCTCTTAACCAACAATCCAAATGTTGATAAAAAATGAATAGTCACAAATCCTTACATCTTCTATTCAAGACTTCAAGATGC